CCTGTTGTACGCGATTCTTGAAGACGATTTTGACGGTACATTTAACATAAAACACACATTGTTATCGGGAGCCGGCTTGGCCGCAGCCTCTTGTTAGATCGCTCCCGCAACGACCACCAAGACCCCCAGGAAGGCCCCGACGCACCGAGCTTGAGTGAGTATGCTGACCCCAGGAGAGTGCTCTGCAGACGGCGATGAAAGCGAGGCAAGAGGGGGGGGGTCCATGCTAGGCTAAAAACTCGACCACCATGCCCAGCCTCCTACTAGCCAACGTGAGGTCTCTGGAAAACCAACTGTGAGCACGGATAACATCACAGCGGGAAATAAGAGAGTGCTGCGCTCTGATTTTCACCGAAACGTGGCTTTCCGACAAAGTTCCAGAGTGCGCCATCCAGCTACAGACTCACTGCATACACCGAGGAGACCGGACTGCAGCCTCCGGTAAGACCAAAGGAGGGGGTGTGTTTGTGCTTGTCAACAACTCGTGGTGTGGAGATATACAGACGGTTTATAGACACTGTTCACCAGACGTGGAGTTTTTACTGCTGAAATGCCGTCCCTACTATCTACCGAGGGAATTCACTGCTGTGTTTCTGGCCACTGTTTACATCACCCCGCGAGCCGACTCAACAGCTGCACTAAGCAAACTCCATGACGTCATCAGCGCGCTAGAGACGGCTCACCTTGATGCCGTCCTTATCACCGCTGGAGACTTCAACCAGTGTAATTTACGGACTGTATTTCCCAAATATTACCAACACATCGATATCCCCACCCGTGATAAGAACACCCTGGATCACGTGTACAGCAACATACGCGGTGCATATAGGGCAGCCCCCCGCCCCCACTTTGGACACTCAGACCACATCTCACTGTTCCTGTATCCAGCTTACAGACAAAAACTGAAACAATCAAACTGTCACAAAGTCAGTTAAGCGTTGGACCACAGACACTGAAGGCATCCTGCAGGACTGTTTTGCTCAGACAGATTGGGATGTGTTCAAAGCTGTAGCCACAAGGGAAGACTCTTCTGTCAGCGTACAGGACTATGCTGAGTATGTGACTGGGTACATCAGCACTTGTGTAGACGACATTGTGCCCACCATACAAGTCAGGAAGTTCCCCAACCAGAAGCCCTGGATTAACAGTCAGGTACGTCAGATGCTGCGTGCTCGCTCTACTGCATTCAGATCAGGCAATGAGACTGAGTACAAAGCTGCAAAGTACTGACTGAGAAATGCCATCACAGCGGCAAAGAGGCAGTACAGAGAGAAGCTGGATGGCTTCTACTCCACTGCTGACTCCGGGCGGATGTGGCAAGGCCTACAGCACATCACCGACTACAGGACCACCACCAGCTCCATCAGCTCCACAGACAGCCTACCAGATGACCTCAACTCCTTCTACACCCGCTTCGAGACCTTCAGCTCCAGCACAGAGAGACACACAAACACCCGGATCACCAAACCCCCCTCCCCTCCACCAACAGTCTCATCAGGCCAGGTACACAGAGCTCTCATGAAGATCAACCCCCACAAGGCCGCAGGGCCAGACAACATCCCTGGGCGTGCCCTGAGAGCATGTGCAAATGAGCTGACTGATGTTCTCACCTCCAGCTTTAACCTTTCCCTCAGCATGAGCACCATCCCCACCTGCTTCAAGACCACAACCATCATTCCCCTCCCCAAAAGGAGCCCACCCACCTGCCTGAATGACTAAAGGCCAGTAGCACTCACTCCAATCATCACAAAGTGCTTTGAGAGAGCAGTGCTGGCCCACATCCAGAGCAGCATACCGGACACCTTGGATCCCCAGCAGTATGCCTACAGGCCCAACAGGTCCACCTCAGACGCCACAGCTGCTGCCCTCCACTACTCCCTCTCTCACCTAGAAAACAAGGACTCCTACATAAGGATGCTCTTTGTGGAATACAGCTCCGCTTTCAACATGGTCGTCCCCCACAAACTCATCCATAAACTCTCCACACTCGGTCTGCACCCCACCCTCTGTGACCTGCTGTTTGACTTTCTGACTGGCAGGCCTCAGTCTGTCAGGATTGGAAACAGGACTTCAGCCAGCATTATCATCAACATCGGCACCCCACAGGGTTGTGTCCTCAGCCCCATCCTTTACACCCTGTTCACCCACGACTGTGTCGCCTCCCACAAAGACAACATCGTCCTGAAGTTTGCAGATGACACCGCACTGATGGGACGCATCACTGGGGGAAACGAAGCGGCCTACAGGAGGGAGGTGGCGAGTCTGGTGTCATGGTGCGAGGACAACAACCTCAACCTCAACACTGACAAGACCAAGGAGCTGATAGTGGACATGAGGAAGGAGAGGAGACCTCATCAACCCCTTTTCATCCGGGAGCTTGAAGTTGAGAGGGTGAGCAGCTTCAGTGAGGACCTCACCTGGACATTAAACACAACACAGCTGGTCAAGAAGGCTCAACAGCGGCTGTACTTCCTGAGGAGGCTGAGGAAGTTTGGGATGTCTCCTTAGATCCTCAGCAACTTCTACAGCTGCATCAGCGAGAGCATATTGACCAGCTGCATCACCGTGTGGTACGACAGCACATCTACTATGGACCACAAACGCCTGCAGAGAGTGGTGAGGACAGCAGAAAAAATCATCAAGACCTCACTGCCCTCTCTGCAGAGCATTCACCACCGCAGGGTTCACAGGAGAGCTGCCTCCATTCATAAAGACCCAACATGGACTGTTCACACTTCTACCCTCAGGCAGGAGGTATAGAAGTGTTAAATGTAGGACAACCAGACTCAAAAACTCTTTCTTCCCCACTGCCATTAGACTCCTCAACAGCTGACAGGACTGTATTCCATTTGTACTGTCTAAATTTATATTGTATACAATTTATTTAATTTTTGACTGTTACTGTTCAATTTACACTGCTCAGTTTTGCACAATCCTCACCTTATTCACCTTGTTTCTGCCTTATTTTTAACATGTTCATAGCCTTATTGTATTTTATGTAAATATTCTATTCTTGTGTAAATTTGGTTGGTATTCCAGAAAGGACAGCACAAGAATTTCAATTCATAGGGAAACGTGTGTTCTCTGTGTATTTGACAATAAAATATTTGAATCTTGAATCTTATTATCATGCTCTAGCAGTAAGTCGTTAAAGACCCTGCAGCTTGTCAAAAATTCTGCTGCACGTGTCCTGACAAGAACCAGGAAAAGAGACCACATGTCTCCTGTATTTGCTTCATTACACTGGCTTCCGGTTAAATCGAGAATAGAATTAAAAATTATCCTCCTCACCTCCAAGGCCCTTAATAATATTGCACCATCATACCTTAAAGAGCTCATAGTACCTTATTTCCTCCACTACTCCCCATAATTCAGGTTTACTTAAACCCTAAAGTATCAAAAAGTAGAGTAGGAGCCAGAGCTTTCAGCTATCAGTCTCCTCTCCTGTGGAATCATCTCCCAGTTTCAGTTCAGGAGGCATACACCCTCTCTACATTTAAGACGATGTAGAGTGGATCCTGATGGCGACAGTGGATCATAGTGGTGCAACGGATCATCATTGATCCATGATCTGTTCGGATCAATATCTTCAGTTCGGCACACAAAAAAAAAAGTTCTGCGCATGTTCAGTCCACACACAGCGTGGTCATGGCAAGCAGAGGAACGGAGGAGGTTGAACGCCCCGCGTCATTTAAATCCCCTGTATGGGAGCATTTTGGCTTCCCTGTCAAATATAATGATGAAGAAAAGAAGTTAGTGGATAAAACCGTGACGGTGTGTAGGCACTGTGGCACAAGAAAGCCATATGACAGACACATCAAGCATGGCCACGCATTTGAAGCGACATCACCCCAGTGTTTCACTGACAGGAGTGAAAACGAAGGCTGCTCAACGACCGCATATCACCACGGCATGTATACAGCCCCTTGTTGCACAATCTGACCGGGTTAAAGCCATCACAAACGCTATCGGTGTGTTTATAGGTGCAGACATGAGGCCATATTCGGTTGTGCAAAACGCATGCTTTAAACACATGCTGAAAGTGCTTGAGCCAGGTTACGACACCCTGTCACGCACCCAATTCAGCGAAAAGATTGTGCCAGCTCTTTATGAGCAGGGAAAGAAAAAAGTTGTGGATGAACTATTTCGAGCATACTCTGTTGCGCTCACGACAGACGGGTGGACGTCCAGGGGAACAGAGAACTATAGCAGGGGACATAGTGACTGCAAAGAGGTCCACACTCTCCCCAGACACTTTTAGTTGATATTATATATTTTAATTTAATAATTTAAAAGTGTTAATAAACGAAAACACAAAACTTATGTTTATTTGTCCAGTCTTTTTTTTTTTTTTTTGCGGATCCGAGAAACGATCCGAACCGTGAGTTTTTTGATCCGTTGCACCCTTAGTGGATCATGATGATGGCTTATGATGGTGTATCCTGATCGTGGTGGCTGCTGATCGTGGACTATGACTACAACAAGACTGCTTGATATACAATATGTCCCTTCAGATACTCAACCATTACTGACATAATTCCTCAATTCATTTATCTTCGATCATGATACAAACTATTTACTCTAACCAATGCTGTAATTTCTCTACTATTTCTCTGATGTTCTCCATTACACGTGGCATCTATTGCAGTCCATCCTGATAGAGGGATCCCTCACGTGTCTCTCTCTGAGGTTTCTACATTCTTTTTCCCCTATTAAAAGGTTTATTTTTGTGTATTTTTTTCTTTCTCCTGTTGAGGGTTAAGGTCAGAGGAATTCACACCTTGTTAAAGCCCTTTGAGACAAATTATGATTTGTGAATATGGGCTATACAAATAAAATTTGATTGATTGAAAGGGATAGTTCACCAAAAACATTTAATTTACTGATTATCGAGCATTTATAGCTGTGCTTAGGTGTGTGAGTCATGCTGCAATCAAACACTAGTGGAGCTGATAGATGTTGAAGAGCTATTACTTTTTCTCAAAGAACTGCAACACAAATCTTTGGGAAGGTGCATGTCAGGGTACAGCATAGGGCTCTGCATAAGGTACACGTCTATGCGTAGGCTACAGTGTAGCTTTGTTGCAGAAGCATGAAGTGGGCTTTAATGTTAAAGCAAGTAAGACATGATATAAATTTCACCGGTCGACTTCACCAATTAGTGGAAGAGACTAGAGATTGGACGTGCTGACATATTGCCGTGAGCATATTGTGTCACTTGTCAGGGTGTTAGCTGGTGTCTGTTGTATCGATCTCTTCTCCTCTTAGTCGCTCCCTATTCTGCTAATATCTATCACTGAGGCTGATTTGGAGTCACATTCACAGTTGTACTGTTCTTTACACACACCTTTCCCTCTCTTAATTAACTAGTTCGCTAATTCACTGTGATTTAGGTTAGGTTAGCAACTTAGCATTAGCAGCTAACAATGGCTTGTCCCTCTCACTCCTCTGCTCTCTCCTGCTCAGTGTGCTTGATGTTTAGTTACTCCTCTGCCTTCTTTAGTGATAACGGTATGTGTATTAAATGTAACTTATTTGCCAGGATGGAGGCAAGGATTAGCCATTTTGAATTGCGGCTCTGCACCATGGAGAGTAAATCTTTAGCTGATGTAATTAGCCAGTCTCCGGTAGCCGGTGCGAGCCAGGTAGCTGTAGCTTCTCCTGCCCCCCCAGCAGCCCCCGAGCAACCAGGTGACTGTGCGAGATAAGAAGCGTAGCCCTAAACTGAAGACCCCGGTTCACCACCAACCTGTTCACGTCTTGTATAAATTTTCCCCACTCAGTGACACACCAGCTGAGGAACAAACTCTGGTTATTGGTGACTCTATTTTGAGAAACTTGAAGTTAGCGACACTAGCGACCACAGTTAAATGTTTTCCTGGGGCCGCAGAGCAGGCGACATAGAGTCCTATTTAAAACTGATGGCTATGTGTAAGCGTAAGTACAGTAAGATTGTTATTCATGTTGGCAGTAATGACTGATGTAGTTGGAGGTCACAAAAATCAATTTTGATTTGGTGTGTACATATGCAACGACAATGTCTGATTTGGAGACATTGTATTCATCCCATTTTGGATGGAGCAGCTCTCATATCTAATAACATGACAACATCAGTCAATACCCTGACAATCCAGAGTTGAGATCAGGAGGCAAAGTCGCAGTCTTACAAACAGTCACCCTCACAATATCCTATAGAAACTGTGTCTGCCCCCGACCACCTAAATTCATTAAATCAAAAGTAAACAGGAAGAGGGGTAATACATTCAAACCTAATAAAAGTTAACACAGCCAATATGTCGGTAACAAAGACAGAGGTATAAAATGAGGTTTATTAAATATCAGGTCACTCAATACAAAATTCTTACTTATGAATGATCTGATTATTGATCATCAAATCAATCTATTGTTTCTATAATAGAAACCTGGCTGCAAGATAGAGAATATGTAGGTTTAAATGAAGCAACGCCTCCAACCCATATCAATACTCATACTTTTCGAAGCACGAGCAGAGGTGGAGGGGTTGCAGCAATCTCTAAATCTGATTTATCTATCAACCCTTACCCGAAATAAAGTTATAATTCCTTTGAAAATCTTATAATCAGCCTTATAATCTTAAATCTATCAGAACTAGTTCTTAGGACAAATAAAATCATTATAGTGGGTGATTAAAACATTCCTATAGATGTTGTCAACGACAGCCTTAGTTCAGCATTCAACTCAATAATAGACTCGATTGGTTTCACTCAACATGTGAATAAAGCCACTCACTGTTTAAATCACACTCTTGATCTTGTTCTGACATATGGCATAGACATTGAACATTTAATAATATTTCATCAGAACCCTCTTCTGTCTGACCACTTTTTCATTACATTTGAATTTAGAATTATTAATTACACAGATTCTGGACAGAGGTTCTATTATAGCCGGTGTTTATCTGATACAACTGTGAACACATTTAAAGAACTGCTTCCTTCTCGACTAACCTCTCAGCCATGTTTCAGTACAATACAGGAAAGCAAAACTTTACTGCCAAACTAGTTGATAACTTTGTTAATAGTACAGCAGCCTCATTAAAAACAACCCTTGACGCGGTCGCCCCGCTAAAAAAGAAGAAAGTAAATCAGAGGAGATGAGCTCCATGGTATAATTCTCAAACACGTGTTTTAAAACAAACATCACGGAAGCTAGAAAGGAAGTTCCACCAGTCAATGTGACTTTCACCTAGCCTGGAAGGATAGCCTGATAAATTACAAGAAAGCACTTAGAAATGCCAGAACCTCTTATTATTCATTAATAATAGAAGAAAATAAGAACAACAAGAACCCCAGGTTCCTCTTCAGCACTGTAGCCAGGCTGACAGAAAGTCATACCTATACTGACCCATCTCTAGCAATGATTTCATGAGCTTCTTGACAAATAAAATTATAACCATAAGGGATAAAATCCACCACCTCCTCCCAATGAATAGCACATGCATAGATACATTGTCTGTTCCTGAAACCATAGAACCAGATTTATATTTGAACCATTTTTCCTCTATTGATCTTCCTGAACTGACCTTATTAGTTTCATCATCTAAACCAACAACTTATCAATTAGACTCTGTCCCAACTAAACATTTTAAGGAAGTTTCCCCCCTTATTGACAGTTCCATATTAAATCAGATTAACATGTCTTCGTTAACCAGCTACGTACCACAAGCTTTTAAGGTAGCTGTTATTAAACCTCTGCTTAAAAAGCCTACACTTGATCCAGAGGTTTTAGCTAATTATAGACCCATATCCAACCTGCCCTTCATTTCCAAAATCCTAGAAAAAGCTGTTGCTAACCAGCTGTGTGATTACTTAGATAGAAACGGTTTGCTGGACAAATTCAGATTTAGAATCTATCACAGCACAGAAACATCACTATTGAAAGTCACTAATGACCTTTTTAAGGCATCAGATGATGGACTTGTCTCTATACTTGTCCTGTTGGATCTTCGTGCAGCATTTGACACCACAGATCATACTATCCTCTTAGAACAAGACTAGAACAACATGTAGGGATCAAAGGAACTGCACTAGACTGGTTTAAATCATATTTATCAGATAGATTTCAATTTGTTAACGTCAACAATGACCCCTCCATGCACATGCAAGCTAGTGATGGGGTTCAACAAGGTTCTGTCCTTGGACCGATACACTTCACCTTATAAATGCTCCCCTTAGGCAACATCATCAGAATGCACTGCATACACTTCCATTGTTACGCAGATGAAACCCAGCTGTGCATTTCTATGAAGCCTGATGAATCTAATCACTTAGTTCAACTTCAGGAATGTCTCAAGAACATCAAGGCATGGATGACCCAAAACTAATTCCTTCTAAATGCAGACAAAACTGAGGTCACTGTAATTGGCCCTAAACATCTCAGAGAAACACTATCTGAACAGATAGTTAGAACCTTGGAGTTATGTTCGACCAGGACATGTAATTTGACCAACATATAAAACAAGTCTCTAGGACAGCTTTCTTCCACCTGTGCATATTAAGAACATTACAAACATCCTGTCTCAGAAGGATGCTTTGAAACTCATCCACACATTTGTTACGTCTAGACTAGATTACTGTAATTCTTTATTACCAGGATGCCCCAGGAAATCTGTAAAAAGTGTCCAGTTGGTCCAAAATGCTGCCGCACGAGTGCTGACAGGAACTCGCAGGAGAGATCATATAAGAGTAGAACAGGAGATAGAGCATTCAGCTACCAGGCTTGTCTCCTGTGGAACCAGCTCCCACTCTGGATTCAGGAGGCAGACACCAACTCGGCATTTAAAGTTAAACTTAAAARGTTCCTTTTGGATAAAGCCTATAGTTAGGTCTGGATCAGGTGAGTCCTGAACCATCCCTTAGTTATGCTGCTGTAGGTCTAGACTGCTGGGGGAACTCCCATCATGCACTGAGCACCTCCCCCCACATTCATTAATTGATTTATTGTAGTACATGTCAATGACTATTTCACTTTGTACTWCCATAGTCTCTCTCTATCTTTTTCTCTCTCATTGCAGATATCTCTGACCCTGGAACTGCAGGAAAACAACTATTACTATTATTAAAAACAATATTTCAGTAATTAAATATTATATGAATTGTGACTGTTATCAATAATAATTAATAAGCCTCTACACTGTTATTGTTTACATTTTAACTAGTCAGATCTGATACCTGATGGTGCTCAAGTGTTCCCAGTCTTCCTCCCCCTCCTCACTATCACTCTCTCTTCTCTACCCTCTTTTCCACCGATCTCTCCTCTCCCCCCTTTTTTCTCTGCTCGCCCCAACTGGTCAAGGCAGATGACCGCCCACATTGAGCCTGGTTCTAGAGGTTTCTCCCTGTTAATGAGGTAGTTTTTCTCTCCACAGTCGCCAAAGTGCTGCTCATTGTGGGAACTGTTGGGTTTCTCTATATTAATATGATTTTAAGGTCTTGACCTTCTATGTTAAGTGCCTTGAGATAATGTATATTATGATTTGGCGCTATACAAATAAAGACCCCAGACTTTAATGAAAGCTGATAAAAGTACAAATTAGGAACACAAGAAGAGCATTGTTAAAATATTTTGGAATTTGTGGAAACTTGACACACAATTTTGAACTGGTTCCAAACCTGCAGCACCACAGTGCGGTTGAGCCCGCTGCGTTTATCTGCTCGCTCAATACTCCGCAGATTGAAGTCTGTCCAGTAGATAAAATCTTGGTATTGTGTCAGACCGAAGGGATGAGGGAGGTCATCTACTATGATCTCTCTTTGAAGGCCTGCAGAGGATAAGACAACCTTTATTATCATCTTCTCATCAACAATGTCATCTTCCAAGCATCAAGTAACACCATAATTAAGGACTTGAAGTACATAGTCATCAGATTAATTGTTTTGCGAGATAATCAGCATTGGCCAATGCCTGAACTCACAAGTCCACACACCAGTAGGTAGCCTTTTCAGTGAGGCTGCTAATGACCCATGGGTCAAACAACTTTCGGCATTTTATTTTTATTTAATAAAAAATAACTATTTTTTTTTTTTCTAATTTCACCCTTGTTCTGCTCCTGATCTAACTGAGCAGATGAGGGAGGTATGTGTGGAAGTCAACACTCTTCCAATATTGCTGCAAAATAAAAATGTAATTTTTGTAAAAATGACAAGGGGTTGGAGTGGAGGAGTATTCAAGGGTCTGCAGGATCCATAAGTGTGAATGTAATGTAATACATTCTGTTAAAAATAATTTGATTATATCCATTTGTGGTATTAATTACATTTGTTGTGATCTGCTTATAGGTGCCCTGTTAGAATGTTAGTGTGTGAATCCAAACCTTGCAAGTTGGTGCTTTCTATCATGCATGTGTCGAAGTCGGTCCAATAGAGTCGATGGTCTACATAGTCAATGGTCAGTCCGTTTGCCCGGCCAACTTTATCAACCAAGGTCATGATGATGCTGCCGTCCATGTATGCTCTGGCTATACGAGGTCGACCCCCCCACTCTGTCCAGTACATGTAGCTGCAGAGACAGAACATTGTTTTAGTCTGGGACACACATGAGACAGACATTCACCCTAAGGGCGATGGTGGTTTAACTAAATCTAAAAAAAAAATTGTGATTCAGATTTTCCCAATTCATCATTAATCGTTAATAATAATAATAATGACATAAAAGGTCTTTGTTTTGCACTGCTTCATAGTAGAGCTGTGTGCAGCGCTCACTGCTTCACTTTTAGCACATAAACATTTAGACACACACACAAAGAGGGGATCAAAGGGTCTCAGGTGTATCACTCAGTAATGACTATGGAGTTTCAAGTTAGGCCAATATGAGAACCCATTTATTATATGCAGTATTACCCTTTAGCTGGGTGCAGTGCCAGTGAGCGAGGGTTGTCCAATGATCGCGGGTTGTCGAGATCCTTGCAAACCAGAACCTGCCGGTACTGGCCGTCCAGCCTGGCCACCTCGATACGGTTAGTGCCTGTGTCGGCCCAATAGATGTTACGACCCATCCAGTCAACTGCCATGCCTTCTGGGTAGTCCAGTCCAAACTCTATGACATGTGCTACTGAGCTGCCATTCATATATGCTCTACTAATTGTCTAAAAAAAGGAGAAAGGTGTGAGACGACAATTCCCATTCAGAGATCAATACAAAATCATGGATGTAGCAAAATACTAAATAAGAAATTAAAATCACTGTCCAACTAACTTCCGGTGAAACAAACATCAAACTGCCCCAACACGCATTCTGACTTCTACTCATTTCAAATCAGATTTTTTCAATACATGTTTGTTTCAGGTAATCTGACCCAATTTAAATTCAATCCAAAAAGTTTAGTTTCCACAGCCTGGCTCACCTTGGCCTGTATGTCAGTCCAATATATTCTCCTTTCAGAGACGTCAAAGTCTAGAGCTGAGGCTTCTTTAACTCCCGTCAGAGGAATGGCCACGTCGTTGCTGTTGGTGCCCAAAGAGATACTCCTGATGTTGTCCCTGGAGAAAAAAGCACTTATGAAATGTTTTCTAGTCCAATGTAAGACCTCTACAACACTAATTATTTAATTTTTCACACCCATTTATCATTGTCCTAGTCATAAAAAGGGAAAATACTTTAGCTGAGGCTGAGACCATCAAAATGGACATGAATCAAAATCAAGACTGAGACGCTGAAAGAATTAATGGAACAATAACAAAAGAATGGCCATTCTTTATTCTTCCCACTTTTGTCTAGCCCTACTGGATTGTCACTTACTTGCATCAAATATATGATATAATCTCTGTGTATTAAAAAAAGAGAATCTGCCCGATAAAAACCCTGTTTGATCGGATGTCTTAATGAGGATAAATGCCTGCCTAGCCTAGTGGCCAGCATTCTTGTTACCACTTTCTGATGTTTAATAGACTGAGGGGCCTATATGCCAGCAGATCTGAATCATCTCTCCCTTTCTTTAGTATTAGACAAATGTTGTTGAAATATCACATCGGCTATTGAATGTTTAATCATTCTAAATAGCAAGGGGGCAATGAAGTCACTGTAAGACTTAAAAAATTCTGCCTTACCGCTTGGAAATGATTTAATTTAATTTCACAAACAGTAAAATTTGTATCTAGATCAAGTTTAGCAGAGTCACTTATTTGAGGTAATTCAACAGAATCCAGGAATTTCTCGATATCTTCATCAGATGCATTACAGCTAGAAGTGTATAACTTTGTATATATCTCTCTAAAATATTCATTTATATCACATGGATTAGTAAAAGTCTCACCAGTGGAAGACTTGAGTTTAAGAATGGACCTACTTGCCTGTGCACCCCCTCTCAGCTTAAGTATTTGCTTATTAACCTGATCATTCAAAACTATGTTATATTCACACTTCAATTTTGTAATATAATATAGATGTTTCATGGGCTGAGAGGAATAGTATGCCTTCTCTGCTTCAGAGAGCCGCACCTGCAAGGCCTTTATGCCTTTCCTTCTCCTTCAAAGCTTCTTATGAGATTATTTTTTCTCTTACCACAGCCTTGAAAGATTCCCCTAAAATATAATCTGAGACAGCCCCATTATCATTGGTTAACAAAAAATAATTCATGGCTACCTTTATATAATCATTAAAATGACCGTCTTGTATCAATATAGGATTAAATCACCAAGAATACAAAGTTTTGGGTAAAGACCAATTAAAGGACATGGTAAGAGGGCTGTGGTCAGAGATTAAGATTCCCTGCTATTTGGTTTGTATTACATTTGAGCTCAGCTTAGAGTGAATAATAAAATAATCAAGGCGGGTGTATGTTTTATGCACATGAGAAAAATGAATATTCTTTATCAGTTAGGTGCTGTTTTCTCTATATATCTACTAAATTAAAGGATTTAATCAAATTATTAAATGTGCCGACTGAATTAATAGATGGTAGAGATATGGAATGGCTATCGAGATATGGATCTAGGTAACAATTATAGTCACTGCCTATAATTGAGTAGAATTCAGATCAGGTAATAAATTGAAAGCCTTTTGAAAAAATTCAGGGTCATCAATATTATTAGGATGCCAAACATTGGGCTATTTCAGCTGGCGTCTTAGCTTAGCAGCTCAGCTCAGCTTTCTGTCTCTGTCCAGCGTGTCTCCTCGAGGCAGCTCTGTGGCAGCCTTTTGTACCAGAGGATCAATCAGCTGAGCTCTCACCTGCGCTGATTGATCCTCTGGTCCAGGTGAAAGTGCTCTCCCAGCTACCTCCACCGTAGATTGCGAGCATGTCTTTTTTGCACTGCAATTTGACAGGTAGACGTACCTGTTAGTGAAGAGCAAGAAGGCCTCAGGCACCACACAGTCCTGCAGGTTTGAGAGGAGCTCCATGCCCATGGGGCAGGCACAGCTAACAGTCTGTCGGTGCCAGAAACACAGATGGCTGCATCCACCATTATCCACTGCACAGCCATTTGTACCTGGAAACATTTTGAAAGATGCAACTTCTAACTATTTAAATTTAATTTCACATTTTTCTTTGCAGGTTCTGCTGCTGTTCAAAAATCACTTGAAAACCTGTCCTCCTTACCATATGTCTCTGTCACTTTAGTGGCCTTCAGTCCCATTAAATCCGGCAGCTGATCAATGATGATCTCTCGTACCGCCGTGCCTTTGTGGACCCTCTCAATGCTGCGTCTCTGCCAGTCAGTCCAATAGATGTAATCACCCAACAGAGTGAAACCAAAGATATGAGGTAGTTTGTCCTCTAGTAGAGTCTGTCTGTTACTGCCATCCACATTGATTACCTACGACAGAAGTACAGGGAGGAGGCAGGGAAAGGTTTAGAACTTTTTCAAGGCAACAGAACACATTTAAATCTGATTCTTAAATTCAACATACAGAACATAAACTAAAAATAAAAAACTGACCTAATCTAGTGTGCCAAAGGAGGTTGTGACCACCTAACCTATGTCTCCTTTATCACAACAACACACCTGCTAGCACCATGGTCACTATTGCTGCCTCTGACCTTTGACCACAACCTATCGCCCCTAGAGGAGGGGTCAATTTCCATGGTGGTTGAAGTTGTGAGCTGAGGAAGTTTCAGAAAGGTCAAGAAAGAGCTGGAGGAAATAGGATGGAGACAGATACTGACTGATAAGATGTCCACAGGAAGCTAGGTGTCCAAAAATAACTGACATTATTAACACAGTTGGATACTGAACATTGATTTTATAAAAAAAACATTTATTTCATTGCCCCTAGAGGTTTAGTGTGACGACCAGTTACAATACAACATAATACATACTACAAAAAGCCTTAGTGATAACACTTGATTGTTTTGGTGTTTATTTTTTGATTAAGATTAATACTACTGTCTATATTGAGCAGAAACAACAATAAAAGTCATATAAAAAAGTCCAGAAAAATTAAGAGTAAAAATGTACAGACAGACCTCTTACTTCCTGGACATGTCTCTTGCAACTACTTGACTTCACTGACCTACCACATAGCACTTAACAATGACCCAATTATAGCAAAATCACACGGAAATGTTCCAGGTTTTTTTTCATGATGTGAACACTTAAACTCCCATTTTGTAAAATGCTATGGAAATGCACAGACAGTACCTATAATTTCCTATAATTTCAACTTAAAGGTTTAAGTTCTTAGATGTAGGGTAGAAGTGTGCAGGTGCATATGCAAAATTACAAACTAATTCCAGTTTAATGAGAAGTCAATTCTTAAAAGAAATACAGTCATCAGCTGATCACACTTCTGACTGCATACTGGAATTCATTCCTTGGGATGTTTACTTTATACAGGTATTTATTTCATGTCTTAATGTGTCTTACATAACTTCAGTTCAGTTCAATAAAATTGCAATTTAGAGGTGTTGTCAAATCACCACTATCGGTGTAACAGTATCAGTAAGTAGTTTGACAGCATCACAACACACAAAAGTGTGTTGTGTGAAATGTGTTGGTTCACTGATTTAGATGGTGTCAAAGCATAGACAACAAAAAAGTGATTCAAACACATGGGGAAATATAATAGCGATTCGTACTTTTTCTTCAATTGAAATACCCTGCGGCGGTTGTCTCTGCCTATTATTCTATTAATCTTGCTAGGGCCACCGATACCTGCTTCTTTATTTTTTTCTGACAACTTTATTTATGGCTATTGGAACGTTAACAAGATTTCAACAAATAGGATAAAAAAATTATCAACCCTACCTTTAATATGTTCAGATACAGTATGTGCCCTACACTTCAATCACATCAAATTATGCCTTCATGGACCATAGTTCCCCAGTTTGCAAAGTTCTTGGTCTTACATTTTGTAAAACAATGCAGAATCTCCTCCTGTTTTTACCATCTTTTAACTGACTTGATTTTTCTGATATTAATAGTGATCCTCCAGCTGACAACTGTTTCTTGACAAATTTTAGTTTTAGGTATATCTAGTGTGTTTTATCTTCAAAATGTGTTTTCACATTTATAAATCACTGTCAATGTTGTGGTGATGTGAAGGAGAGCCATGACCTGCTTCCATAAGACATCTTATATTAACAGGTTTATCTATACCAAATATAAGAGCCCTACACAGCTGACAGCATGACAGGCAAGACTGAAGTGGGAGAAAGAATCAAGGCATTTACATAAGCGACAGACATGTTTGTATAGATGTCCTGGAAAACGAAAATGTGTTAAATTAAGATTTGACATCATTTTCATAATACAGTTCCATCGAATGACAATGAAAAATTGTAATTACTACCCAGTCCAGCAGATTTGTTGGCATATGGATGCAACAGTTCTGATGTGGTTAAACTTTTGGTTTACACCATGCGCACTGACATACAAATTACATAAGAAGATGGAAGAGAAAAAAAAGAAAACCAACACACACACATCAACTGGAGGTGAAAGCTGCAGTGTGGGGAAAGCAGAATAAAAATTATGTTTCTCTTCAAAGCTGAACACATATAAATATTAAGTCCAGAGTCGTCCCACTGAAAACAAAAGGGAAGGACACATTTGGAATGAATTGGATTTCATGCTGACTTGAAAAAAACATTTGCTAAAATCCTTCTGATTTTTTGTGTCAATACAACAACTTAGTCTTGTGTTTCCGTAACCCAGGAGTTAATACATGGAACGAAGTGTAAAAGTAAAATTTGTGTTGTTGCTGTGATGAGCAGCAAGCATCGGTTTTGTGAATTCTTATTTAAATAACCATTGAGAGGGAGAGCAAAAAGAAAGAAAAAAAATAATTCATTTTGATGGGTCTCTGATCCAAGGGAGGTCCCTGACCCCTTCACAAAAAATCTATTCATTTGTCACTGTGAAACAATTAGATATGGTCATGCCAGTGAAAAGATGTCAAAGACTCCCTTTCTCTGCTCTCTCCTTCTCTCTCACTTGGTCCTTCTCTCTGCTGGATTTTTCAGGAGGAATTATGCACTGGGAGTGTGATTATCTTTCCTATCCTTTCTCATTTTGGGTGTGAGAATTTTCTTATTTCTTGATGGACATGAGAGAGAAAAGGACACAAAGACAGAAAGAGAACCGACAAAGGTGTCATCAGACATGCAGGGAGACATCAGACCATTGCCGGAAAGTTCACATATGCTCATATTCTCTGATAAACATATGAATCACACTGGATGAATGGAATCCTGTGGAAAACTGCACAGTGAAAACTGCACCAAGCAGGGACTCACTGAAATCTTTGACTACTTGTATCAGTGTGTAAAACTCACATTTCACTATCATTTCCAGTTTACAACACAAGATCACCTTACTTCAGTGTTCATAAAATACATTATAACATGCACGATTTCTTTCAGTATCCATTGTTGATTACTTTTTTGTAGGTTTGATTAGAGATTATGAAACATTTATGAAAATAGTGTTTTAAATAGCCATTCAAAAGATAAGGTTTTGTCTCAGTAACAATGTCTTATTAAAGACTTCTATATAGTGGAGAACACATTATGTGACTATTTTACTTTATACACTGATTTGTATTTAATATTTCAATAAAGAGTATCAATCACAATATATTTTGCCACTGTGCATTGTAATTTTACCTCTAATTGTTGTGCTTGCACAATTGGTTACATGTTAAGCTAAACTGGTTGGTTCTGAAGTATTGATGTCTGACCACATCAGAAATCAAAAATACATAATAAACTGACTGTATTTATAAAATGCTTATCCAGCTTTATCAACCAAAGAGCTTTTAGAGTACCTCTATATTCAGCACATTTTCCACTAAACAGCTTTTTTTCACTGTCAGCACAGTGTTGTCGAGCAATTTGGATAACTGTTATATCCAATGAATCGCGGACCACAACTTCAGTTCACACAGGTTAACTTTTATTGTGTCGCACATATAACTGTTAACAGCTCTCTCAAAACAACAACAAAAAACTTTTCCGGCCACCTGTTGTAAAACTGCCGTGCCTGTCGTAAAACTGTTGTGCTTACTGCAGCAACTACAGCCACAACTGTTGTGGCTCATACACAACAATAATGATCATGATGGTGAATTGTGATGGTGGCTCTTGTTGGCAGCTGATAATGGATTATGATTAAAACTGCAGCAGTCAGTTGGTTTTACAGATCATGCTGTCATGGCTTGGGCCGTTTCCATGGTGTTTCTTTGTCCTCTTGTATGTGTATCTGTATGTGGGTGTGTGTGGATGTGGGCGTGGCTTCTACTCCTGGCACCTGGCATGAGTCCCACACTGGGCTGCAATCATCCTCTTAACCAGCACTACAAGAATTCTGCCCTCTCTGCTACTCATGGCCAGATTGTTACAGTCACTCCTGTGGTACACTCTCTGCCGCACTTCTAGTGTTTGCTCATTCGAAGAATCTCCTCGCTGTTTCATGCATGCATTAACTTTGCTTCTGATGTGCCTCAGGATCACCAGAGCGTTACCTGCCTGCCCTCGCTCCTGCTCACCCCAGCCTGCCTTCAGCCTGTTGTCTGCCTGCCACGCACTATTCATTAAAACCGTCTTCTTTGCAAAAACTGTTAATCTCTGTGTCTGCTTCCCGGGTCCAGCCACAACGCAACGTAACACATGGTCTAGTTTTTTGCAAAGTTTTTATGATAAATGTCCAAAAGTGCATACTGGCATTTAACACAGTCCTTTTATGTGATGAAAATGTTAAAGATGATTTTAGATTTTTCTGGAATGGTTTTGAAAATTTATAATCTTTTAAATCTTTTTTTTTTTTAAATTGTATCTTTATTTGGAATGGACAGGAAAGTACAATCGCATGCTATCAATAGTAAAGATAAAAACAAGTGACATTCAAGTTTTGATTGTTTTGAGTACAGAGATTGTGCAACATCAGCCAACGGGGTATATGAGTCCAAAACATGTACAGTCACATATCATGGGTCAGACTTTGTTTGAGCTTTCGGATCCCATTCTCATCTTATAACATAAACTTCGTAAGATTTATGCCAGAGTAGCATCGGTGGAAACAGGGTTATTCTCTTAAGGCCCGCGTTGACAAGTTGCCCGGAATAAATAGAGCCAGAAGAGGCTCACAAGTTCACTAAGAGAAAATTCCAATATAGCTTAATGAAAGGCAGAACAGTAAAACAGTAAACACACAACTATTTACAGAAACCATGGGGGGGCTCCCCTGCCGTCGCTGTCATAGAAATAGTCATCAATAGCCAGTCATAAATTTAATGAGTAAATTACAAAGCAATATTACCAATGAGATCAAAAAAAATCTGCTCTCATGGGGGCTATGAATGAAATCCAGTTATTCCA